CTTCCGATGCGGTAAGAATGCTGAGAGAGAGGTGAGGGTTGGGAGGTAACAGGGAGATGACAGTTTTGATATTACCTGAGCTGAAAGGGTAGATGGGATAACAGGCAATTTAGGAGACTGAGAAATGTGAAATAGTTAAGCAAACAAGAAAGCAAGTTGCCTAGGAAAACACACTGGGATTTCAGGGCCATGCTGAGAGCCCAGCTGAAGCTGGTGATCATAAATTTCTGGTGGTACTGATATGTGCTGTCTTGTGAATTTTTCCCACAGTTGTTCTGCTGTACATATAAATATATGGAAAAAGTAAAGAGTTGGATTACACTGGCAGGGTTTTGGCCAGATAGAAAAGACAGAGCAACAAGGGTTTGTGGCATTGACAAAATTGTTCTTAAAATTATCGACCATGGAAAATAAACTGAATAGGAAGAAAATTAAACCTAGAGGGAAGGATATAGATATGGGGATTGGTCCTTTATTGGAGAGTCCAAAGAGGTCAAGGGATTACCAAGGTGGGAATAGTTGCAAAAGCAAGCCAGAAAGGTGAGAGATAGGGCTGCAATTGCTTAACGTCTAAGTCATTGATTTGGAATATCAGTGATTTTGTTGATTAAAAAATCCAGAGTGTGACCATGGGAAGAGGTAGCTGAGGTGGAGTAGAAAAGTCCATCGAGATGAGGGGGGTAAGGAAATGAAGAGCCAGAGTACTGAAAGAACACTGTGGATATTGAAGCCATCTACAGTGATGGCAGGAATTGGAACAGAGAGAAGACTTTGAGTCTGGTGCCACGGTGTTTGATGAGCAACGGAGAGTGGTCAAGTGATAGATGACACTGACAAAGAAAATGAGCTGGTCATAGAGGGCAAATGGCATAAAGCCTCAAAGGAGTAGGGTTTCTGTGAGACAGTGGGTGGATACAGTAATGATCTGGGAGATATAATGAGGAGCAGAAAGACTTCAAATCTGGCCTCTAGAGAGTAAAGTTTATAAGGTTTGGAAGAATCAAACCCACGGCTCTGCTGGGCTTCTAGGGAGCATCAGAGCTGCAATAAGTCAGGTGGAGACAATGCTTGAAGAAGAGTAGTTTGTGTCGATGATAGAGCAGCAGTTTCAGGGCTGCGTGATTGGAGAGGTGGAAGGTGGGGATGGAACGGAGGGCAAATAATTTACCACCAATAGTCTGTTTAGTGTCCTCATCTTTCCTGAAGGAGTCTCTCACATTGAAGAACTAAGTTGAAGCTATTTCTATTAAACATTTACTGTTGCTGAAATAAGAATGTATTGCTCTCTAAAAACTAGTTAGCTCATATGAAACATACAGCAAGTCCGGACTTCAGTTTCCTTATTATAAAATGAACATAATTATTATCCCACAGATTTGCAATGGAATTTAATTTTGTATATATGCACACACACATACAATATCATTAAAAATAACTGACACTTTGCAGAAATAATGCATACAATGGAATAGAAAATGAATAGAAAAAATCAGGGCAAGAAAAAGGATAGTAAGATGAGGGCAAGGATGAAGTTAATTACTGGAAATCTTAGGTTCTTACTCAAATGCTGGAGTTTAGCCACAAAATTCCTTGATTTCCTAGAACTAGATATGATGAATGCAAAATTCAGTGTCCATGAATGGTGCAGATGAGCTGCAAAAGTGTTAAATAGTGCCTGGCAGGCTCCATTCCACTTACATTATTACTACCAGAGAAGCCGGGTCCACCACCTAGCCCAGATCAGTCTATACTGTACTTTAGTGCTATTTGTTTTGTGAGAGTTGTATATTAAAGGTGTGTTGATGGCCATTAAAAAAAAAAATTCCGTGTCCATGAGATTTAAATATTCTGGTCGATTAGTTCAAGTACATCTTTTCCTAGCACTGGGGATTAAAATATCTCTCACAGGATCTCATTAAGCAGAATCCTCATGTAGTTAGAATTTTAAACAATATCCCAACAATCAATGCCATAACAGTAAAACTTTTGTATATTGTGTTACCATTATATGAGAATTTATGCCTAGAAATCAAGTTGCTGCCACCAGATAAAGAGACATACCTTGGGGCTTCCCTGGTGGCGCAGTGGTTGAGAGTCCGCCTGATGATGCAGGGGACGCGGCTTTGTGCCCCGGTCCGGGAGGATCCCAACTGCCGCGGAGCGGCTGGGCCTGTGAGCCATGGCCGCTGGGCCTGCGCGTCCGGAGCCTGTGCTTTGCAACGGGAGAGGCCGCAGCGGTGAGAGGCCCGTGTACCGCAAAATGGAAAATAAAAAAAAGAGAGAGAAATACCTTGTTTATGGAACTCAAGCCTTTGGAGTAGCTTTCTTCAATTGTGAGCAAATGATTTTTAGCTTTTTTATAAAAATAACTCTTTAACTTTGAGAAGAAAAATACATGTAAAAGAATTAGTGGGTGTGGATTCAGGGAGAAAGAAGCCCACAGCACAGAAGTTAAACAATTCCTCATATGGGATTTAAATTTTTTAAAAAACTCGTTGTTATTTAAAACTAGGTTGTATCCTTCCCAAATCCCATTACATATATAATCTCATTTAGTCCTCTAGTGAATGCCTGCAGGGATCACATGAATATTGCCTACAGCTGATTCTCTATCTCTCTGCTCTCCTGCACACCTATCACTTCAACCTGAATTGTCTGCTGTTGTTGACTGTTTGCCAGAGCAGAAAATTATACCATGCCAGGAGAGCAGACTGGCTTATGATATTAGATCTCCTTTTCCAGTACCTTTTTTTTTTTTTTTTCGGTACGTAGGCCTCTCACTGTTGTGGCTTCTCCCGTTGCGGAGCACAGGCTCCGGACGCGCAGGCTCAGCGGCCATGGCTCATGGGCCCAGCCGCTCCGCGGCATGTGGGATCTTCCCGAACCGGGTCACGAACCCGCGTCCCCTGCATCAGCAGGCGGACTCTCAACCACTGCACCACCAGGGAAGCCCGCCAGTACCATTTTCTTGATCAGGTTCCTTTGACGCTCAGTTCAGCACCCACCCATCTGCCTCTTTCTGATGTGGTAACAGACCAGCTTCTGAAGTAAGAGAGCAGGGAAACTGTATGATACACTGGTGTGTCTGTGTGTGTGCTTGCTCATTGTTGTGTGTGTACATTGTAGCACGCTGTCTAGCACAGAGGAAGGAGGAGCTCAATATAGTAAATAAGTGAATTTTAATTTTTAAAGAAGTAGAAGTGGTTGCGGGTTCAGCTCTTCCGCGAGCCCGGGGCGTGGGCTTCAGGCATGGGGTTAGCAGGCCTGGCTTGGCTGCATAGGCTCTTCGCCGCCTACAAGCCCCCGGGGCTAAAGTGGAAGCAGCTGCGTGATACTGTGGAGCTGCAGCTTTTGAAAGGTCTCAGTGCTGGGAAGCGTCCTGCCTCTGAACATCGTGTTCGCTTCCTGCTGGGCCCCATGGAAGGCAGTGAAGAGAAGCTGACCCTCACAGCCACCAGTGTGTCCACCCTCATCGACCATCCGCAGGTACGTGGACCAACATTCACCAGCCTGAAGATTGGCATGGGGCACCGACTGGATGCCCAGGCACCTGGGGTGCTTGTGCTCGGCGTGGGACGTGGACGAAGGCTCCTCACCGACATGTACAATGCTCACCTCACCAAGGATTACACAGTACACGGCCTCCTGGGCAAAGCCACAGACGACTTCTGTGAGGACGGGCAGCTGGTGGAGAAAACGACGTATGTGGTTAAGAATCCGCCTGCCAATGCAGGGAACACGGGTTCAAGCCCTGGTCCGGGAAAATCCCACATGCCGCGGAGCAACTAAGCCCGTGCGCCACAACTACTGAGCCTGTGCTCTAGAGTCCACGAGCCACAACTACTGCAGGCCGCGTGCCTAGAGCCCGTGCTCCGCAACAAAGAGAAGCCACCGCAATGAGAAGCCCATGCACCACAACGAAGAGTAGCCCCTGCTCACCGCACCTAGAGGAAGCCCACGCACAGCAACGAAGACCCAACGCAGCCAAAAATTAATTAATTAATTAATTTTAAAAAAGAAATCAAAATGGTTAAAGATATTTTATTCCTGGTTTAAGAAAAGGCCTGCATAAATATCTTTTCTGCTTTCTAATTACACATAAAATTATTGTATATAAAAATCTACTGGTTTTCATCCAAATTATGCTCTCTTATGGCTACCTAGGAAATCTTAAAGGCATATATATTGGGTTGGCCAAAAAAGTTCATTCAGGTTTTTCTGTAAGATGTTATAAAAACCCGAACAAACTTTTTGGCTGACCCAATAGAAGCATCACCAAAATTGAATTTATAGAAATGCTGACCTAGATTTTTATTAGGAAAAAACTTGTCTGAGAATCAGAAGATTTTGGTTCTAATGAAAATTTATCTCACTTAATATTTCTGAATCTGTCTCCTTATCTATAAAATGGAACTTACAATATATTGCTTACTTTTATCAATAGAGTTGTTAAAATCAAAGCACAAAAAATAATTTGCAAGCTCTGATATGAAACATAAATAAAAGATATTAGGAGGAAAAGCAGTGCTAATAATGCATTTTCAAAAGCACTTGTCTTTAGGATGTTAAAAGTTACTTCACTAGCAGAAAAAGATGAAACATAAATTCATTGTAATGAACAACATAAAATGGAATGAAGAAATCAAGAAAATATAAACAGACCTAAAATACTAGAAATTGTTTCAATTATATCTATCTACCTACCTACTTAGGACTTACATTCATGCAACAAATATCTATGCAGCTATTATCTGAAACTCCAGTGATTTGTAGTTTGTAGTTTGCCTGTCATACCTACAAACAAAAGTTTTATATAGACATTGTTAAAGAAACATATTACAACAGTGTGGCTGCCTGGGGTCCAAATCTTAATCTTCGTAAAACCATAAAATGCCTTTGTTCAATGCATTGCATTAGTTATTCGGTCCCGTAGTTTGTGGTTAGTAACAAGATAAATATAAATCATTCTTAGACTCCTGCACTTACAGCTTTTGGATCACATTGTGATGCTTAGAGTTAGCATCATATAACATTTCTTCAGTGTTATGAGTTCCCAGTTATACTTCATTATGAAGGTTTAGACATTAAAACCTTCCATTCTTAAACTTAGGTTTTAAAAAATTCCTTTATGATATCTAAATATCAAAATGCTATCTGTATGTTAACTAAGATTTAGTCTGGAAAATATATTAAACAGCTTCCATATATATGGAAGCTAAAAAAGGGTGCACATGAACTTATCTACAAACCAGAAATAGAGTTACAGATGTAGAAAACAAACTTATGACTACCAGAGGGCAAGGGAGGGAGGGATAAATTGGGAGATTGGGATTGACATATACACACTACTATATATAAAATAGATGAGTAATAAAGACCTACTGTATAGCACAGGGAACTCTACAATACTCTGTTATGGCCTATAGGGAAAAAGAATCTAAAAAACAGTGGATGTATGTATATGTATAACTGATTCACTTTGCTGTACACCTGAAACTAATACAACATTTTAAATCAACTATACTCCAACAGAAATTAAATTAGAAAAAGAAAAAAATAAAATAAAAATCATATATAGTTAAGCTGTACAACAGGATGATTTGATGTACAAATACATAGTGAAATGATTACTACAGTCAAGTTAATTAACATATCATCTCCTTACATAGTTACCATTTTTGTGTGAGATGAGTTCACCTAAAATCTACTCTCTTAGCATATTTCCAGTGTTCAATACAGTATTATTAAATTTAGTCATCATGCCTGTACATTAATGTCTAGACTTATTCATCCAACATAACTGCAACTTTGTACCCTTTGACCAACATCTTCCCACTTCCCCCACCTCTTCCCCTCCCTGCTAGACCCTGGCAACCACCATTTGACTCTCTGCTTCTATGAGTTCAACATTTTTTTTTTTTACATTCCATATATAAGTGAGATTATACAGTATTTGCTTTTCTCTGTCTGGCTTATTTCACTTAGCATAATGTCCTCCAGGTTTATACATGTTTTCACAAAAGGCAGGATTTCCTTCTTTCTCATAGCTGAATAATATGCCATTGTATTTATATACCACATCTTCTTTATCCATTCACCCATCAATGGACACTTGGGTTTTTTCTATATCTTGCCTAGTGTGAATAATGCTGCAATGAACATAGGAATACAGATATCTCTTCAAGATCATGATTTCATTTCCTTTGGTTATATACCCAGAAGCGAGATCGCTGGGTCATGTGGCAGTTCTTGTTTTAATTTTTTGAGCAGTCTCTATACTGTTTTCCATAATGATTGTACCAATTTACATTTCCACCGACAGTATACAAGGATTCCCTTTTCTTTACATCCTTGCCAGCATTTGCTATCTCTTGTCTTTTTGATACTAGACATCCTAACAGAAGTGAGGTGATATCTCATTGTAGTTTTGAATTGCATTTCCTGATGATTAGAGATGTTGAGCACCTTTTCATATATCTCTTGGCCATTTGTGTGTTTTCCTTTGAGAAGTGTCTATCTAGGTCTGTTGCTCATTTTTTAATCAAGTTATTTGTCTTCTTGCTATTGAGTTGTTTGAGTTCTTTACATATTTTGGATATTGACCCCTTAACAAATGTATGGTTTGCAGATATTTTCTCACAATCCATACGTTGTTTCTTCACTCTGTTGTTTCCTTGGTTGTGAGGAAGCTTTTAAATTTGATGCAATCCCGTTTGTCTATTATTGTTGCCTGTAGTTTTGAGGTCATATATACAAAAAATAAAAACATTGCCCAGATGAATGTCAAGAAGTTTTTTCCGGGCTTCCCTGGTGGCGCAGTGGTTGGGAGTCCGCCTGCCAATGCGGGGGACGCGGGTTCGTGCCCCGGTCCGGGAGGATCCCACGTGCCGCGGAGCGGCTGGGCCCGTGAGCCATGGACGCTGAGCCTGCGCGTCCGGAGCCTGTGCTCCGCAACGGGAGAGGGCACAGCAGTGAGAGGCCCGCGTAGCGCAAGGAAAAAAAAAAAAAAGAAGTTTTTTCCCTGTGTTTTCTTCTAATAGTTTTATAGTTTCAGGTCTTACATTTAAGTTTCTAACTACATATGGAGTGAGACAAGGGTCCAGTTTCAATCTTCTGCATGTGGAAAACTAGTTCTCTCACAGCACTTATTGCAAAGTCTGTCCTTTCCCCATTGTAAGTTCTTGACACCTTTGTTGAAAATCAGTTGACCATAAGTGAGTAGATTTCTTTCTGGGCTCTCTATTCTGTTTCACTGGTCTATATGTCTGATTTTATGCCAGTATCATGCTGTTTTTATTACTATAGCTTTGTAGAATATTTTGAAACCAGGAAGTGTGATGCCTTCAACTTTGTTCTTCTTGCTCAAGATTACTTTGGCTAGTTGTGGTCTTTGTGGTTCATAAGAATTTTAGAATTTTTTTCTATTTCTGTGGAAAACATCATTGGAATTTTAATAGGATTTGAATTGAATCTAGATTGCTTTGGGTAGTATGGATATTTTCACAATATTAATTCTTTCAATACATGAACACAAGATATCTTTCCATTTATTTGTATCTTCAATTTCTTTCATCAGTATTTTATAGTTTTCAGTGTACAAATATTTCCTATCCTTGATTAAATTTATTCCTAGGTAATTTTTTTAATGCTATTATAAGTGCGATTATTTTCTTAATTTCTCTTTCTGATATTAGTGTATAGAAATGCAACTGATTTATATATGCTGATTTTGTATCCTGCAACTTTACTGAATTTTTTACTAGTTCTAACAGTTTTTATGGATGCTTTAGAGTTTTCTAATATAATATCATGTCATCTGCAAATAGTGACATTTTTACTTTTTCCTTTCTAATTTGAATGCCTTTTATTTCTTGTTCTTGCCTAATTGTTCTAAGACTTCCACCACTATATTGAATAGAAAAAGTGGCAAGACTGCGCATCCTTGTTTTATTCCTGATCTTAGAGGAAAAGCTTTTAGCTTTTCACCATTGAGTATGATGTTAGCGTTGGGCTTGTCATACATGACCTTTATTATGTTGATGTACATTCCTTTTATACCTAATTTGTTGAGTTTTTTTTTTTAACCATCTTTATTGGAGTATAATTGCTTTACCTTTTAGTGTTAGCTTCTGCTGTATAACAATCAGCTGCATGTATACATATATCCCCATATCCCCTCTGTCTTGTGTCTCCTTCCCACCCTCCCTGTCCCACCCCTCTAGGTGGTCACAAAGCACCGAGCTGATCTCCCTGCGCTATGCACCTGCTTCCCACTAGCTATCTATTCTACATTTGGTAGTATATATGTCCATGCCACTCTCTCACTTCATCCCAGATTACCCTTCCCCCTCCCTGTGCCCTCAAGTTCATTCTCGACATCTGCATATTTATTCCTGTCCTGCCCCTAGGTTCATCAGAACCTTTTTTTTTGTTTTGATTCCATATATATGTGTTAGCATGCGGTATTTGTTTTTCTCTTTCTGACTTACTTCAATCTGTATGACAGACTCTAGGTCCATCCACCTCACTACTAATAACTCAATTTCATTTCTTTTTATGGCTGAGTAATATTCCATTGTATATATGTGCCACATCTTCTTTATCCATTCATCTGTTGGTGGACACTTAGGTTGCTTCCATGTCCTGGCTATTGTAAATAGTGCTGCAATGAACATTGTGGTACATGACTCTTTGTGAATTA